CCAATACCCTGTGCTCTCATCTCTCTGTGCACTGGCTGTGAAGAGGATGTTCGACCACACAAGGGGAAGCACTTGGCACATAATAGGTACTTAATAAATGCTTACTGATTCTCACCATGAGATGGGCAAACCAAATGGTAGTTAAACCAAAGTGGTTCTTCAATTTTAGCCTGCCTCAAAGTCACCTGGAAGGCTTGTTATAACACACACATTGTTGGGCCATAGCTCAGAGTTTCTTATTTAGTGGGTCTCAGGAGGGGCGTGAAAATTTGCATTTCTAGAATTGCATTTCTATCAAATTCCCAGGTAATGCTGGGACTAGAACCACACTTCTAGAACCAATGAACTAAGTAGTCTGTTTAGCTTCTTACATTTCTAATAACTCCTAATTCCTCAATACTTTTAATAGAGACTAAATGAACAAAATAAACTTTTATCTCTATATAAATTAATACTTAACTATCATAAATGGAAGTATGGGCTCTGTAAGACTTCACATGCACAGTGTAGAGAAAAGAGCATGTAACTTGGAATCAGAAGGTCTGAGTTGGGGCGCCTGGGTGGCTCAGTTGGTTAAGCGACTGCCTTCGGCTCAGGTCATGATCCCGGAGTCCCTGGATTGAGTCCCGCATCGGACTCCCTGCTCGGCGGGGAGTCTGCTTCTCCCTCTGACCCTCCCCCCTCTCATGTGCTCTCTCTCTCATTCTCTCTCTCTCAAAAACAGATAAATAGATAGATAAATTCCAGTTAGTTAATGTACCATGTAATTTCAGTTTCAGATGTACAACAGATCTTTTCCATGTTATCAACAGATGCTGTGGTAATCAGAACAATAGCGTCCCAAAAGATACTCACATCTTAATCCCCAGAACCTATGAATATGTTACCTGGCATGGCAATAGGGACTTCACAGACAGGATTAAATTAAGGTTTGGAGATGGGAGATTATCCTGATTATTCAGGTGAGCCCAAGATAATCATAAGGGTCCTTTTAAGAGAAAAGCAGGAAGGTGAGAGAGAGAGCAAGAGAGGGAGAGATCAAAAGATGTTGCATCTTGGGGCGCCTGGGTGGCTCAGTCGGTTAAGCGTCTGCCTTCGGCTCAGGTCATGATCCCAGGGTCCTGGGATCGAGCCCTGCTCAGCGAGGAGTCTGCCTCTCCCTCTCTCACTCCCCCTGCTTGTGTTCCCTCTCTCGCCGCTGTGTCTCTCTCTGTCAAGTAAATAAATAAAATCTTAAAAAAAAAAAAAAAAAGATGTTGCATCTCTGGCTTTGAAGATGGAGGAGGGGGCCACAAGCAAAGGAATGCAAGTGGCCTCTAGAAGCCAAAAAAGGCAAGTTAATGGATTCTCCCCAGAGCCACCAAAAGGAACACACACCTGCCAACACTTCAATTTTTTTTTTTAAAGATTTTATTTATTTACTTGACAGAGAGAGACACAGCGAGAGAGGGAACACAAGCAGGGGGAGTGGGAGAAGGAGAAGCAGGCTTCCCGCTGAGCAAGGAGCCCAATGCGGGGCTCGATCCCAGGACCCCGGGACCATGACCCGAGCCGAAGGCAGACACTTAATGACTGAGCCACCCAGGCACCCCAACACTTCAATTTTTAACCGAGGGACACCAATTTTGAACTTCTGACCTCCAGAACTGTATTAATTTCTCTATCCCCAATGTAAGCCATAGTAAATATTTGTTAAAAGACTGCCTAAGAGCCACAATCCTTCTTAATGTAGGTTTCTAGTATGATTATATTTCCCCACATTCCTAAGCTCCATTACATTTATTGCATTCTTTTTTTTTTTTTTTTTTTAGAGAAAGAGAGAGAGAGTAGGGCAGGGAGGGGCACAGGGAGAGGAAGAGAGAGAATCTTAAGCAGGCTCCGCGCCCAGCATGGAGCCTTATGCAGGGCTTGATCTTACCACCCTGAGATCATGACCTAAGCCAAAATCAAGAGTCGGACACTTAACTGACTGAGCCACTAGGCGCTCCATATTTATTGCATTCTTATATTACTGGTTCTAAGATATAAGTCTTTGACATTCCCCAATTTAATATTCACTACTTTTCTTATTTATAAGTGACTCAAAAGCCATGTGGTAACCTAAGTTTCATCAAGGTGGCTGTGTGGGAATAAGGTAGTTGGATAGTAAGTGAACCTAGCTGACTTCCTGACAGCGCTATCTCATCTGGTCTTATTGTTCTCAGCTCCTGGTGACATAGGAAGTCACCCATTATTACTGTAGAATTCAGGATTCCCAGGAAATCTCTTAAGACTCTTCCTATTTTTCCCAGCTTTCATTATTTTTTTTTTTAAGATTTTATTTATTTATTTAAGAGAGAGAGAAGGAGAGTCCAAGCAGGGAGGAGAGGGAGAAGCTGGCTCCCCGCAGACAAGGAGCCTGATGCAGGGCTCGATTCCAGGACCCTGGGATCATGACCTGAGCCAAAGGCAGACACTTACCTGACTGAGCCACCCAGGCACCCCTCCCAGCTTTCATTACTCTGTCCAACTTCCCTTTGGAGTGAATGCTTACTTCTATCTATCTCTTTAATTATAAAAAGAGCTGTTGGAGGAGGAACCCTCCCTTCCTCCATGAGGAAGACTGAACATGGAGATAGAGGCATCTAACACAGACCTGGGTGGGATGCTTTAGGCCTGAAGCATTAGTAAGTCTGGGCCACATGTACTTTGACCTTGGATGCATACTGCATGAGCTAATTGCAGCTGGCCCGTGTTGGCCTGTGATTGGTTTCTACGTCTATCTGACTCCAGGGTGAAGTATTAGCAAGCTCCACTTCCCTGAAGACTTGGACCAGGAGCTTCATCCTAGCTTTTATCAGTAATGAGGCTATCACATTACTCCCCATCTCTCTGACTCTCTCACTTGGTTCCAAACTTGAGGAGGGAAGAAAAGGAGTATCATTTCTTTTTTTTTTTTTTAAGATTTTATTTATTTATTTGAGAGAGAGAGAATGAGAGAGAGCACATGAGAGGGGTTAGGGTCAGAGGGAGAAGCAGACTCCCTGCTGAGCAGGGAGCCCGATGCAGGACTCGATCCAGGGACTCCAGGATCATGACCTGAGCCAAAGGCAGTCGCTTAACTAACTGAGCCACCCAGGCGCCCAAGGAGTATCATTTCTTGATCACTCTGGAACCTTAATAAAAACTACTGTTTGTTGAGTGTTTACTCCATGCCAGGCATTATGTTAGTGCTTTACACACTTTATCCTTCCAATATCATCACCAACACAACAAAACAAATAGAATAATGGCGGTACACACAAGTGCTGTAGTAACTGAGGGCTTCAGAGGAATGAGTTGTAGAGAAAGAAAGATGATGGAAAACATTAATACCAGGAGAGGCCCAGGAGTAAGGACAGCAGCCTATAAATCCTTCACAAAACAGAGTTCTTAAGCAAGCAAAAAAGAAAGTTGGGCAGGCCAGCCGGTCTTTTCCCAATCTATATACAAATAAACCCCAGATACATGAAGCACTCCTATCTTTAAAGTCTTCTTGACATGCAGGTCATCAAAAAAGCCTCACTGGTAGGAGTAGGCAGGAGGAGATACTATCTTTCCCCCACAGAGACCTCTGGTATCATGTCCCCTGACGGAGATAGGCCTGAGGTGAACTGGTGTGGTGAAAATCATCAACAAAGCTAGCCTTTTAAATTGTGAATAGAGGGGCGCCTGGGTGGCTCAGTCGGTTAAGCATCTGCCTTCGGCTCAGGTCATGATCCCAGGGTCCTGGGATCGAGCCCCGCATCGGGCTCCCTGC